AAAAGACCCTGATGCTGGGAAAGATTGAAGGTGGGAGGAGAAGGGGATGACAGAGGATGAGATGGTTGGATGGCATCACCAACTCAATGGACATGGGTTTGGGCAGACTCTGGTAGTTGGTGATGGACAGAGAGGCCTGGCGTCCTGCGGTTCATGGGGTTGCAAAGAGTCAGACATGACCGAGCAACTGAATTGAACTGAACTATTCTACTTCTGGCTACATATCCAAAAGATGTGAAAGCAGGACTTGAATAGATATTTGTACACCAGTGTCCATGGCAGCATTATTCATGATAGCCAAATGGTGAAAACAACTCAGAGGGCCATCAACAGATGGATTGATAAGCAAATGTGATCAATATATATGATGAATATTATTCAGCCTTAAAAGGGAATAAAATTCTGATACATGTGACAACATGGATTAAACTTGAAAACATTAAGTAAAGGAAGTCAGATAGCATAGGGCAAATATTGTATGACTCCCCTTACATGAGACGCCTAGAGGAGCCAAATCTGTAGAAACAGAAAGTGAATTGTAATTACCAGGGGCTGGAGGAAGGAGGCCATGGAGTATTATTATTTAACGGTTTGGGTTCACGTTTAAGATGATGAAGAAGTTCTGGAGATAGATAGTGTGAGGTTGTACAACAGTAAGAGTGTAATTCATGCCACTGAGTCCTACACTTAAAAATGGTTAAAACTGGAAATTCCGTGTATTTTTCCATAATAAAATAACTGAGGCGGCAGATGTGCTGGGTGTCGGTTTCAATCCCTGACCTCGAGAGACCTGGTGAGTTTCTGCTCGTGCTCTTGTGCCTTTGGCATCACTGCAGAAGAACATGCCTGGATTGGCCTGATGGTCCCAAGGGGAAGATGAGAGAAATGTGGAGGAGAGCCAAGTCACTCTAGCCAAACCCAGTTTAGATCAGTTGAACTAAGGAAGATCAGTAAGAATAAATGATTGTTATTTTAAGCCACTGTGTCTTGGGGGTTTATTTTAATGCATCTTCAGGGGTGGGGTGAGGTAACTAATTGATACATTTAGGGAACAGGGGTTTCCAGATCACCCGTGGATCCAAGGCATCCAGTAGGATGGAGTTTCTACCTGTTGTGCTGACCCAGCTCTCACCTGACCTGGATCACCATCTCAGAGGAGCAGGTTCCCCACATGCTTCTGGTAGCATCTAGGCATCTATATGCCATGAGGTTCATGGTGGTGTCACTGTACTCCTGTTATGAAATGAGGGTGTGAATGGCCTTGGGGAGAGGTGCATAGAGATCAAGCCATTGGGGACCTCTAGGGACCCAGCAGCACCCACTCCCTCCAGTCCCAAATGTCTTCT